ATTAAACTTGAAGGAGCAGGAGGTCATGAGTTACCATATTTAGGATGGACGCAAGCGGATGTGTGTGTACCATCAATTTCGGATACGCCATTAACCTGTATATTTTTAATTGTTCCGGATACCGATTTTCATCATAGAATACCAGTTATTTTAGGTACTAATATTCTACAACCTTTTATGGATACAGCAAAGGAACGTCATGGAGTTAATTTTTGCAACTTGATTCAGCAAAATTCATGGAAACTAATATTTAAGTGTATGCAGATTCAACACAAAGCTAGTAAAGATAAATGTGATAACTGTGTTGGTATTGTTACATAGTAACAAGTCGAAAGTTTTAACGTGTTTTGTGAAGAGTAATATTTCATCTAAGTCGTGTAAAGCTTTGTGTCAATTTTCATCACAGTCAAATTTACCAGCTTCATTGGAAATAGCCCCAATTCTTGTTAATTTTTTACCTGGTAACAGGGATTTATTATCTGTCACAGTATCGAATTTATCATCATATCCTGTGTTAATTCAACCCAGTGCTATTGTTTGTGAACTGACACCAGTTACCATTGTTGACCACCCGCGTCACTTAACTTCAGCGAGTATTCAATCCACTGTTCACGAAGAATCGACCATCTTGGATAAGATTGTATTAGCTGATGACACCATGACTCAAGCAGAACATCAAGCAGCTACAGATTTCATGAAGAAATGGTTACATTTATTTTCAAGTAGTGATATTGATGTTGGGTGTACCAGTCTTGTGAAACATGCTATTAATTTAGATAACAACATACCTTTCAAGCAGAAACACCGTAGAATACCACCAGCTATGTATGATGAAGTAAGAAATCACCTCCAAGACTTACTTAAAAGTGGAATCATCACGAAGTCTCATAGTCCTTGGTCCTCTAACATCGTTTGGTGTCGCAAGAAAGATAATTCTCTTCGTATGTGTGTGGATTTCCGCCAACTAAACAGAAGAACCATCAAAGATGCTTACGCTTTACCACACATTGATGAAATTTTAGACAACTTAGTTGGTGCGAAGTATTTTTCAGTTTTGGACATGAAAAGTGGTTACCATCAAGTCGAACTAAAGTCAACTGATAAATGTAAGACAGCGTTCACCGTAGGTCCTCTTGGCTTTTACCAGTTCAACGGGATGCCCTTCGGATTGACAAACGCACTTCCAACTTACCAACGACTTATGGAGGAGTGTCTTGGTGATCTTCACCTAAAGATATGTATGATCTACTTAGACGATGTCATCATTTTTTCTGACTCCTATGAACAACATTTAGAACGATTACAGTTAGTTTTTCAACGGTTTGAAGAGTGGGGATTAAAGCTGGCACCCAAGAAATGCAAATTCTTTCAGACCAAGGTGAAATATTTGGGACATGTCGTTTCATCTGATGGAGTTCATACTGATCCTGACAAAATCAATAAAGTTAAAGATTGGAAGACACCTACCAACATTGATGAGTTGAGAAGTTTTTTGGGATTTGCAGGTTACTATCGGCGATTTATTAAGAACTTTTCAAAGATCGCACAACCACTGAACGAACTATTGATAGGAACCACTACTTCAAAAACCAGGGGGAGAAAAGGTAAAACAGAACAGCCAAACGTCTGGAAGTGGAAGACAGAACAAGAGCAAGCATTTGAACATCTGAAACAGGCCTTGATAACCACTCGAGTTCTTGCTTATCCAGATAGCACCAAGCCATACATTCTTCATGTAGACGCCAGTGGTGTTGGCTTGGGAGCCATACTGTATCAACATCAAGACGGTAAAGATCGGGTTATAGCTTACGCTAGTAGGAGTTTAGCACGGTCTGAGAAGAACTATCCAGCTCATAAATTGGAATTTTTGGCACTGAATTTGGCTATGGCTGACAAGTTTCATCATTATTTATTGGGAAACACCTGTACTGTTTTTACTGACAACAACCCACTAACATATGTTCTCACCTCTGCGAAATTAGACGCTACTGGACACAGATGGTTGGCTGCCTTGGAGAACTACACCTTTAGCATCAAATATCGACCTGGACGTCAGAACATCGACGCCGATTGCTTATCCAGGCTTACACTAGATCATCAAGAAGAAATTAACAGTATATCATCTGAGATTATCAAAGCTTTACCATCATCATTATTGGACGACCGAGGTTTTGTTGAATGTTTAGCAACTCAAGTAGTTCCTGATTCATCTATACAGGATTTGTCATCTTCAGGCAGTTTTGTGGATTGGTCTAGGAAACAAAAGAGTGATTCCGTTATTGGTCCCATCTACACAGCAGTGACCAGACAGAGTAAACCAACTTTACCCCCATCTTCAAGGGATGAAAGTGTTTACCTAAAGGAATTCAACAAGCTTATTCTCAAGAACGATGTGCTCTATAGAAAATCTACCGGCAATGATGGAGATATTCACCAGCTAGTCATACCAACATAAAGGTTGCCATGATGGTGTAGGCCACGGATGTCTACAGATGTCGATGAATATTTGAAGTCTTGCAAGAGATGCCGCATGCGCAAGTCCTCCACCAATTCTCGAGTACCTCTAGTGAATATAACATCATCACAGCCTATGGAGATTCTTTGTATGGATTATTTGTGTTTAGAGGAGTGTAAAGGGAAATATTCGAACATTTTAGTCATCACCGATCATTTTACCAGGTATGCTCAGGCAATTGCAACCAGAAGCCGAGATGCCAAAACAACAGCAAGGATCCTTTTCGACAATTTCATCGTCCATTATGGTTTTCCAAAAAGGATACACAGTGATCGAGGTGGAAGTTTTGAGTGCCGCATCATTCAAGAACTCTGCAAATTAACAGGTATGCGCAAGACCAGAACTACGCCATATCACCCAAGTGGAAATGGAATGTGTGAACGTTTCAACCGGACGTTATTAAACATGCTGGGAACTTTGGAAGTAGAACAGAAATTAAACCGGAAACAATATCTGCCTTCCCTGGTACATGCCTACAACTGCACAGAGCATGACAGCACCCATTTTTCACCATTTCGCCTTATGTTTGGGAGGAAGCCACTTCCTGCTGTGGATGTTTTACTTGGCATCGTCAACGAATCTGAAATAACATCGTACAGAACCTACATGCAAGACCTGAAGAAGAGATTAGAATATTCCTATCAATTAGCTTCGGAAACCATCGGAAGATCTCAGCAACAACAAAAGAAGAACTATAATAGCAGAGCCACAGAGTCAGTATTAGAAGAAAATGATAGAGTACTAGTAAAGAAGTTAGTTTTTAAAGATGGACGCCACAAGATCGCGGATAAATTTGAAGAACAGGTTTACACGGTGATACAACAACCCAATCCCGATATACCAGTCTATGAGGTGAAACGAGAAGATGGTGTTGGAAGAATTCGGATGCTTCATCGGAATAACCTTCTTCCAATTGGTTCCATTGCTTTCAATTTACCTGACTGTGCTGCACCAGTACCTAAACCAAGGAGGAAGACGGCTGTCATTCAGGAGCCGGAGGTAGAGTCGAGCGAAGATGAGGATGATGTTGTGATTGTGGATCGGGGAAGACTTCATTCGCCGCCAGCTAGCCCCACGAGACAACATGGGGTGAGTGAGGATGTGGAAGAAACTCATGGAAGTGACGTGGAACTCCAGTCCGATCATTCGCCTAGTTCAGAAGATGACTCCCCAGAACCTCCACGAAGATCAACAAGGAACAGGCAACTACCACAGAAATACCAAGGTGGGGACTACATCATGAACATTGCGCCTTCCGTGGTCATGAGTCCAGAAAACCTGTTTGTGTACCTGACTTCGGATGATTTCGTTAATTTACCACCTGAACGAAGAAGAATCGTGTGCGAAGTTATAAGGACAATATGTGGGTTTTAGTTTTGAATATGCGAGTTTTAATCTAGTTTGATATTTTGGTTTTAGTTGTTTTAATTGTCGGGACGACATTACTTTTAGGAGGGGAGAATGTGATAGTGTGGAATTTTGGTGTTTTAATTATATAATAGGTTTTAGTCTATACTGCACTTCACTGACAGCAGCTTAATAAACAATAACAAACTTTCACTTTCATCTGATCTTTGAACCCTTATATTCATAGTCACTGGATGTTCAGCTTCTGGACTGGTCTTTGTAACAACATCAGTGACTATCACCTCATCATCTCCTTGGATACTTTTCCTAACAAACCCAACTTCCTGGGTTACAGGGCTAACAATTAAAATCAGTCTAACTTAGGAATTTGAATGTGTCAGATGTATAAGATTATCTTCAAATCTTAAACTTGTATTTGGCGCTCAAAGTTTTATAAGTTGTTCCAGTTACTGAAGATTCTTTTGGTCAAGTCTTCATTGATCAAATTAAGGATACCTTCTAGCTGCTGGAGTGTTACATGGTTGTGTTGTTTCAACACAAAGATCTTTAAAACCCCTTCTAGGGTATGTTATTTTATATAGGTATTATCTAATATTATAGAAATTATTACTGTAAAGATATGAGTATAGAATTAAATATATAGTATAATTATAATACAGTGTAATGTTTGATGTGTTTTAAAGTGTATAATATGTATTATAAATTAAATGTTGGTGATGTTAATTCTATGTATGTATATTTTTACAGGGTTTTTAATAAAGATTTAAACAGTCTCGTCTTTTGCTTGAATTAGACCCGGTTACATACACTACGGGACCTCGGTTTTGCGGCCCATCCGAACATCTATAGGTTGTCCCTTGTCAGGCCCTAATTTTAAGTCTATATTCGGTGAAAAGAAGACGGAAAGGCCATCGTCTTGGAAAAATTACAGACACCATTGAAATATTACCACATGCCAGTCTGAAAAAGACCGTAGTATTGTGTTGAGATATCAAACACCAAACCTTTTCTGGTTTATTTATTTATTTATAAAAAAGTAATATGACGTAAGCTGACCACGTGGTATTTGTAATGTTATGGTTGGATGGAGAAAGAGGTGTTGGGTCTGTGAATACAGACTAAGAGAGATTGGGCCAATTGAAGGTTACGGCAATGTAATGTAATGGCTCAGTAAGTTCATACTGACAGTGTTTAAGACACTACGCGCTCGTTTAACGTGGGCTGCTTGACACTAATACAAATAACGGAATGACATAGGACGGTTATTGACATCCTGGTTGTAAATTTATCAACAGTAGGGTCGAGTTTGTTGTTTTCTGTGATTACAAGATTACAATTTGAAGAAGGATTCCTTTCTCTAAATGGTAGCGACTACGAAATGGTCAGGATGATGATAACGGCCAGTGGATTAATGTTTTTGTAACTAGTGTACGTGTCGTGTTTGTGATAAGGATATATCATTATTTAGTTCGGGGTGGAATTTACAATAAGTACCATGGATACGTCAGCAGGATCTAGTGTGGATAAAACAGATGAAAATGGAAATGCAGCTCATATAATCAGTGTAAGTTCTGATATCAAACCTTTCTTGTTTCATTTCAAATTTTAGTTTATCATTTCAATATTTGAATTTTTATGGCTTCTTCTTGCATGAAAATTGTTGAAAACACAAATAGATTGAACTGGTTACTCTTTTTGCCTTTGTAGTGGTTGATTGTTCAGTTATATATATTTTATATATTAGTTTAGTCATTTTCAAATTATAAGACAATGATTTATATTGATATTCGATAACAGGCCATTCTTTATTCCAAACTGTCATTTTTAATTTACAATTGTAATGCTTTATTGGTGCAAAATGCCCATCAAAATATGATTTCCAAGCAAGTTTGGTAGTTGTAACCAAATCCACTATAATTTAATTCATATCACAATAATTTATATGGATATTAATTGATAATATACTGCTCTTTATGCTAAATTGTCATTTTAAAATTATAATCGTAATTTGATATAGTCATCTTAAAATGATCATGAAAAATAGATTGTTCACATATTTCGAAAGTCCAAAATTTAGGGCACTTTCGAGTGGTACTAAAGGGTTAACTTTTATTTTGGCATCTTGGACAGAGCTGGGGCTATCATTAGGCCAATTATAGATTATAGGCTACCGCCAAGGACTCAGAGGGTCACAATTTTATACAGTTTTTCTATCAGAGAAAAATAATCAAATATTCATATTTTACATATTCTTGCAATTTTTAATGAATTTTATATCATTATTTCTATAAAGGAAAAATTGGGGGAGCGGGGTGTTGCGATCCATTTGTGTCCATTTCTAGGTGCCAGGGAATAGGGATTTAGCTTTTTTAACATCTTCAGTATTTCTATAAAGCAACAATTTCCGAGGGGGGGGGGGGGACTAAATAAAAAATTGCAAGGTGCAAAATAGTGTGGCACTGGACATATGTTGGGGCTTTAATTCTGTATTGTTTGTCAGTCCATGAAATCAATGTAATAAAAAGTCAGGGAAATATAATATCAGTTACATAACCTATACAATATATGGACTCTAATAAGGACATACCGGTTTAAAGACTGGAATATAAGATAAATGTATATTATTCATGCTACTGTTTATGATATAAATAATATATCATATATCATATTGCTGATTATAATATACATTATATATACCATGGTAGTCTTCAGACAATATAATCTACTAGAGAGAAGAGAGAGATATTAATGTCCACTGGACACTGGTCATTTCTGGAGTAACATACGGTTCAATTAAATATAATAATTCGATTGCGCATAGGGGTCTTTAGCAGTGGGAAAAAAACGGAAAAAACCCACGAGATTGAACAGACGACCCGACTCCATGTCATGTACAAACACCCCCCCTTACATGTATATCATATTATAAATACAGTATATATGTGGTAGTCGTCAGACAATATGCATAATATCATCTATAAAATGGGGTTTAACCTCATACTGTTTAGCACCAACCCTGTTAATGAAGACAGGCATATGCCATGCAGTGTACCATCAGGGAAATTTTGCCTGGACAGTGGCGTTTGCGACTCATTTTCATCATTCTATTTTTAAGAGTTTTATTATGAGCATGCCAACATGTACACAGAATTACTACTTGACATTTCGTTCATGCATCATAAAAGTATGTCTCAACGTTTCAGACTCTGGTGTACATAAAAGATCCCTTGACAGTTGGAATTCGATATAAGTGTAGGCCGTAGTGCTGCTGTCCGGGCAAAATTTCCCTCATAGCACACTGTATGGTGTATGCCCGTCTTCATTAGCCCAGTCCGGAGCAGAACAGTAGAACGTTAAACCGCATTTCATTTCATTTCAGACTCAGCTTCCAATAACTTTTCCCTTCTATTCTAGCATTGATTCGCCCCCCCCCCCCCCAAACCTGAGTTAGAATTTAATACAGACAGATTTTTCATGCTTTATTTACTTCTGGCTTCACAGTGCTAATCAATAATGGCAGACTATTGAAACAACTTATATGTACATGTAACACTATATTCAGTGTACATGTACATGTAGGTGATAAATCCCATTTGTATAAAAACCTGGTATGTTAATGATTATAAGGGTGCGACTTTTATATATACACAGGTGTTCCCAAATTTCTACTCAAAACACAATTCTATGGAATACAATTACTGTTTTACTTTAATTGTATTCTAATTGTGTATATATATATATACAGTTCAAATGCTCTATGCCATTGAAACAGATTTATATACAGCCCAATATACAGACTTTAAGAAAAAATGAACCACAGCCATGTCTGGGCAAAATTCTCCTCCCTACTAAGCCTAAGACATTGCGTATCACCCTAAACATTTCACTTCTCTCTTTTAGAAAGTTGAGATATTATAGACCTGGCTACAGTTACATGTAATAGACAATGCCATCCAACTGCCCAACAAGAAAATATATATTTACATTAGTTTCCATGTATCAAGTTGACCAAATTCTCACAAATTTGTCAGATGACCCTCTTAAAACTTATATTTTGTGATAGAAGATTTAGACACATGTAAACCTGCAAAGTTATATGACTCTATAGAGTATTAATATTTTAATATTAAAACAGATGGCCTTCTTAATTAGGGTTTTGAAACTACTATTATGACTGTGGTCTGTGGTGTTCTGATTATATTCCTTCTAGTTTATATTCCTTAAATTTGCTAATCTGATTAAAATACAGATTACATGTATATTTCGTTTTTTTTTTTTTTTTATACTTTCAATGGCCTACACTACATGAAGATCTGACAAGTTGTACTGGAATGTCGTGTCAGATCCTATGACGTCAAACATTGATTAATCAATCAGCGTTGATGTTTCTAGTGGTTTACCCACAGTTCCGTGCGCGGCATGCCAAGAAGTCGCCGTAACAGACCGTTTCATTGGCTATTCCCTCACTTCAACCAAAACGCTGGTAATATAACAACTCTTCCAGATCCTAGTGTAGTGAAGACAAGTAAAATGAAATTTTGAGCTATAAAAAACGAAACACATTGTCATAGAACGTTATGATTACATAATATAGAATATCTTTTCATGTTTTGTTTACTTTATAGAAAAATATTATATTGTTTTACAGCCATGCTGGGGGGGGGGGGGGCGGGGTCGGATGGTCGAATGGTTAGTGCATTCGTGTCGTATCGTAAGGTCTGTCATTGAGTCAATTGGCGTGGTTTCATTTCCCGGTTGTACGTGACAAGGAATAGGGTCGCTTGTCCAACCTCTTGTGTTTTCTCTGGGTCCTACGGTTTCCTTCCACTGCTAAAGACCCCTATGTGTACGCGGAAGTGAATTATTGAAAAAAAAATTGAACCATATGTTATTCCCAAAATGACCTATTTTGTGTCAAATGGACATTAAACCCCATCTCTCTACAGGCATGCTGAATAATTTCCCAGATGGATAGACAAACTATTTGGATTGCTTATGAATTTTATCTAATTACTTGACTTTCAATTTATTTTTCAATGTCATACAGTTAAAACAGCTTTTGTCATGCCCTGCCCTTTGCTTGAAAATTTACTCTTACCTTGATTTAAAGAATATTTATTCAAATAAGATTGATTTTTAAAGATACATACATTATAAAAGGAAAAGATTCAAAAACAAGCCAAAGGCTTACATGTATATTAATAAATATACTACAAAAATACAGTTACAATATGTACACTTCATATACAAAATACATTCAGTAGTGCAATATTTTACGTTTGCTATTAATCGTGCATGTAAGTAATTTAATAGTTTGTGTCACTTTCAATGCATTACCATAATAATATGGTTGTTTCGTATGATAGTTTGAAGTTGTCAGATGCATAGGAACCTAGAAAATAAATGATTCAACTAGTATATCGGAATGGTTATTGTAGTCTTTTAGATAAATGTATAAATTTGTGGACTGTATTAATAATGTGCGTGTTCATTTGCAATGTATTATTACTATCACTGTTGGTTAGAGTTTGTAAATTAATAGAAATATTTGGTAATGTATTTATAGTTTGAAATCTGGACAGTGTAACAAATAGTGTTCCATATCCTCTATACAGTGACCACAGGAACAAGTTGGATTGTCCGTTAAACACACATTATGCAAGAGCTAAATCTGTCTATTGCAGGTCTTTCTTTAGGCCTGAAATGTTATCTAAATTATTAATTAGACATTAATTAACCTATCCAGACCATAATCAACTCTAGATGGCATCTCTGGCCTGTGATCTTTAGTGAATTATGAGCCGATTTACTGCATAACTTTCCTTCACGATTTAACTATTAAATTGATAATCGAGACTATGCTGTTTATCGTATTGGCTTTAGTAATGATGATTGAGGCTAGACAGAAATTTCAATCGCTTAGCAGGGGCGGATCCAGGAATTTTTGCAGGGGGGGGGCATGTTCCTGAGACAATGTATCTCCGCCCCCCCCCTCCCGCATGGTCTCTATCGTCATTTTGGCGTATATACATACACATTGACCTTTTTAAACAGAGAAATTCAAAACCTCGTTTGACGTCAATTTTTATTATGAATTAATACAATGACATTGTCATTCAATTTCATGGATGCAAAGCATTAATTGTGATATCACATAATGTCTATATCATTATCTCGTGCTTTGAGTGCCCATCCTGTCCCAAATCTGACGATAAAGGATAAAGCACACGGCCGAGAAACCTTTCTCATAAAAAGTGTTGATTTACAAAAAATTTTATGTAGCTGAGCGGGGGGGGGGGGGGGGGGGGTCGACCCCCCCCAAACCCTACCTCTGGATCCGCCCCTGCTTAGTTCTTTGTTCGTAGTGGATCAATTTGAATGAAATTTTCAGTAAATTGCCTTTACATTATCTAGTTGTTAACTATTATAGTGAGAACTGCGAACTCGTTAACGAATCTCCCATAATGTATCTTGAAGTGCATGGCAAATTTATGGTAGTTGCTTTTACTGTGACGCAATTTAGTATGGATTATTTGAGAAGAATGCTTTCCAGTATAAAAATAT